CGCCTTTCCTAGAAGACTTTCAGCCTGTACTCGCGCAAAAAGAGGCTATTCCGAGATCCGGTTTGTTTTTGTGGTCTATATAGCATTTGATAACTACTGTTGAAGTTATATCATGTATCGATCGATTTGACCGTTTTTACGGGCATATTTACCGTTGCCAGATCTTTTGTCGCACCCTGTATGTGTCAACGCGGCGTAGCGGTAGTGCTCTCGCTTTAGTGACGGCTGCGGGGCTGCTCCCTGACTTCGTCGAACTTTGACACATGGCCTTTTCTCTTACAATTAAAGGCTTTTGGAACTTTTTTTCACTTATTGCTGAGGTAGGCGCTGTTCGACTGAGCACCTTGAATAACAGGTGCAAATTTTGTCCTGCTATGGCATTGCTCGGACTCCGGTTGGATGTTAGAAGGACTGAGTTCATGGCCACGGAGCCAAATGAGTGAAGTCTGACAAAATCGCCAAAACTTCCTTATACATTTGACGGGTCGGCAATCGTGCCTGACGACGGCCTATGAGTTGACTTTGGATGTGATGTGGTAAAGAACCATGCAACAATCTAATACCATCGGTAATGTAATATTATAGGAAAATATAAAAATATGGTCGTGGCGACAACTCCCTTTATTTGTATTACAACATACTCCACATTTCACTTTGTAACCTATGCTAGGGTTATCTTCCACAACGAATCATGTAAATATTTTCCTCTTCTGTAGTGAGGACCATAAATAAATAGGGATCGACTTGTCACATATGCTAAACAATCAATATGAAGAATTCCATTCACCAAAAAATCTTGATCAGTACTACTTACCAAAACGAATTCAAGCAGAGCCTCTCGCTACCAATCCTAATGATGACTCCATACGTGTACCGCTAATACTTTAGAAACCACATGGTCTTATAGAATTGAACACACTAATAAAATTTTGAACCTCTATCAATAAATGAGGGTACTCTGTCGCTATCAAGACATCTGTTTCATAAACACTGCTGTGCTACAAAACGTTCGCGAGGAAAGACCAAGCAGTCTATTCCCTGTTGGAATTAGAAGTCTTACTCTCGAACAGATATTCTACGAAATCAGAATGAGCATGCTATCAG